GATGTTCAATAGTAACTAGCCTTAGTTGAGGTGTCTATACGAAATATATATGTATGTATGTATGTATATATGTATATGCATTTGCATTAACGAAAATATTTATCTCATAAAAATTAGTATTATATAAATAATAAAAATTAAACTAGTACAAACTGTAATTGACATTCTTACAAGTCATATGAATTTTTCTTCGTCTAATATACTCAAATTTTAAGAAATATTAAATAAGTAAAACAAAAGGCAAATATTTATATAATAACAACTATTTTGAAGCAAATTTCCTGACAGTCTAAATCACATAAGTAGAATTGTTAAATAAAGTCATTATTTTATCTTGAGCATCAAAAACACAAATCGCGACAATTATCTAACTCTTAAGAAATCTAATAATTTTGGAAAAATTATTTAGAAGCATATATCTACATGACAAGAAGAATTGTTAACAAAACAAATGAATTTAGACTACATCAGGTTAACTTTATATATTGTGAAACATTACATACTTATGTATAGATTAATTAAAATAATAATTATTGTATCATTAAATTTATTTTCCTCAAGTACTTGAGATAGAAATATACAATCTTAGAATAGAACGATTAACTTCATTAGAAAAGTGGTACCTCATATTCAACTAAATCACTCAACGTCAACAAATTACACCATTTTTTTAAAACATGCAATAAAAAAGAGAGTAGAACATTAATAAAATTTTGGTTGAAAAATTAGAGGAATTCCCTTTATTTATAGCAAAGAAAGAGTAGTATCAACGAGTATTTTTTTTATCTTATCCGAAATGTCATTCAACTTATTGAAAAAGTGACAACTCTTTGAAAAATTCACAAATCTCTGGAAAAGTCACAACTCATCGAAGAATCACAACCCTTTGAAAAAAGTCTCATAAAATCACAACCCTTTGAAAAAAGTCACAACTTATTCAAAAAGTCACAACTCATCCAAAAATTCACTACCTAAGTTAGAGATATTATAGTGATTTGACAATCAAGTTAGGAGTTCATACTTTTAAGGTATACATACATATACATATATATATATATATATATATATATATATATATATATATATTATTATTATTATTATTATTATTATTATTATTATTA